TGGCTGCTGAACCTGCTACTGCTCGGTCCTTGCTGCTGTCATTTGCGGTTGCTGCTGCTGGTGTGCTTCATTGCTTTTTGATTGTGTTTGGCTGCTTTATTTATTTATAGCTACGAAATCGGAGCTGGGACTCCAACTCACCCAGATTCAGACGCAGACCAGTATGTAGTTCTCAGAAAATATTATAGCTTGTTTTGTACCCAAACTGATCCTGAACTGAGTCGCAGGTGAGGGGAAACTTGGGCCAAGGCTGACATATAAAGACGACAACTTTAGCATGTAAGGCCTTCGTTGAAAGCAAAGTTAAATTGCAAACAAGTTGAAGAAGAGGAAATAGGAAGTAGGGAGCAAATCTTGCGACGCAGTTTGCTGGCTTTTTGTATAACTTTTGATTAATAGAGCGTGCAAGAGAATGGAGAATGGGGGCGTGTGTGTGAGGAATACCCGAGTCCTGACATAATTGCGCCACATGCCCAAAACAAAGAAACAACAACAACAACAACAGCAACAACAGCAGCAACCAAAACACAAAACTCAAGGAAACCCCAAGAGCCAAGTGCAAGACCAAGTCGAGGTCCTTGAGTCGTTGGGCTGCTGCACATGACAAGCAACTGCCGCTGCGGGCGGAGCACCAAAAACAGAAGAAAAAAAAACAACTTTCCTCATGCTAAATTGATTTTGTGGAAACAAGTAGGCAGTAGGCAGTCGAAATAGGCACCATGGATATAACAGAGAAATGCACTTATGCAACAGCTTTCTACTATTTCAATTCATTTGATGAAATGGCAGCCAATTTTTATTCGTTTCTGTTCTTGTTTAACTCTGAGAAGCGAATTGTTCTACATCCGTTCGGGCATCTGGCAGCGCCGCAAAGCAACAATTGCATGAAATTTGAGTGAGTTACAAAAGGAAGTTTCCAATAACCCCAAATTAAAGACAAAACTTGGGCCGCCTGCCAAACAGTTTGGCATGAATTCAGCTATTGAATTGAGCGAAAAACGAGTAAATAATGTGATATTGATATCCGAGTGAAATAAAGGAGAGATTGGGCATATGATTTTTTGATTACTCAATCATATTAAGAAAAGCGTTACAGACAGTTGTATACCTTTGTGATATGCCACGAGCCAAAAATAATATAAAAACAAGTGAGAACTTTAATACCAGTGCAATACCAGCTGATAACAAGTGACAGAAAATCTGTTGGGCGGCATTGGGTGCTTGACCTTCGACTATTGAATAACCATAAAAGTGCCGTTTGAGTTCAGTGACTTCAGACTTTAGAAATATATGGGCTTTCTCGATTTTTGTGGACAAGCTGAGCGCGGCTAAGAAATGTCCTTAGCAATACTGTATGATGGAATGATCAAAACCATCCAGCTCCCTTCATATGTACTTGTACAAGCTTATATTCAATTTTCAGTCCAGCCATTTTTTAGACTGAGGGAATAGTTTGCAAAGAAACAGATAGACAGACGGGAATGGCTGTATCGACTCAGCTCGTGATGCTGATAAAAAGTAAATACACTTTAAGGGGCCGGAGATGTCTCCTTCAATGTTTTACAAAGTTAACGACAAAGTTTTAATAGCTTTGTAAGGTTATACAAATTTCATTTTTAATTTATATAAAAATAAACATACGTACTATATACGTATGTCAGTAAAGTCTATTGGTTATCATATTAAAATAGATTTAAATTCTACTAAAACTATTCAGACGATATCCGTACGCAATGTATTATGTATGGTGGCAAAATTCTGTACAAGTTAAACTCGAGAACTTGAGTGAATGTCGTTTGCCTGAATGACAGACTGACTGCACTCTGTTGCAAATGGTACCATTGACAGCGCATGGCAACATAAGTTGACTTTTTAGTTTCACTGTCAAGCTGACTGACTGCAAAGGACCCATTGCCGGGTGCCAGTATTGGGGAGGCTTGAGTTCGTGATTTATTCGTTGTTGCTGTTGCACTTTTTGACTTGGCCACCAGTCAAACTATGTACCTGCAGATGAACAGTAAGCTGCTTCTACCAAACCATGAAATCAACTTTCAAGCAGAGGGCGCTTATAAATTATCCCATACACGTACACCCAGATGTATTTAAATGTATATGCATGCATGCATATGTGCAAGCTTATCTGGAGTAGGTGCCGAAGTGTATGCACACTTAAAGCCTCAAGTGTGTCAGGCAAATGACGTCACTGAGATAGATACACCCAGATGCATACACCCATTCAAAAACAACACCACCCACCCAATGCCACGCCCACCCATAGGCAAGTTGGCTGCAAGGGTAGGCCACGAACGAAGCTTAGCAAAAATACTTTCATAATAATCTTTATGCCACGGTGTTTTAAGGCAGCGAGCAAAAAAAAAAATAACAAAAAAAAAAAATAGACTCAGACGCCTTCCTATCTAAAAAAAAAAGTACGAACAACATCGAAAACAAGGAAGTATTCTGTTGTCGAGCTGTCTCGACTTGGAGATACCTAAAATACAATGTGAAAATTCATTTTGGATAACAAAATCAGTCTCTCTTTCGATTTCGACGAAACTTGTAATAAAATATCAAGGTACATACATTATTCTATCGATTCTTATCGATATAGAGAAGCCAATCAATAAATGAAATTAACTTGATCTGCGTATGGTAAACGTTAAATTACATTCCTAATTAAAAGAGTCTAGCTCTCAAAGTCGCCAAGATCGGCTAGTAGACGGCTGATCAAATATACCCATTTTACCAATTTTCAATAGGTTCAGGGTATGGAAAACAGCTAAACGAGCATAAAACTTAAGGGTTCAAGCAGCGTCGGGACGGGACTAGCGGCTGTGACAGGATGCAGAGGGGGTGGTGGGCACAGGTTGGCGTAGTTGAGTACACTGTGATTTGTTGTTGTTTATGTTCTTGTGGTTGTTTTCGCTTGTTCCGTTATTTTCTTGTTTCTCTTTCCTCTATGCTGGTTTTGTTTTTTTATTAAGTCGCAGTTTGATAGAGAAAACCCAAAGAACTGATTTTCACTGTCGTTGTTGTGAGATTTTAGATTAAAGATATTTTAGTTCAATATAATTTACAGAATGCTTTTAGTGCTAAAATCTTTGCCTAAGGATAAATCGATACTTCTGAGAATTGTAATTTAAGAAATGGAAGAACACCAACCACCTATTCACTCTGCATACCCTTTCAAGCTAGAGATGCTCTCATATACTATCTTTCATATCTTTTAAGGCACCTCAAAACTTTGACTACTTTATGTAATCGGAGAAGTTTGATATGCATATTATTTTGTACCCTTTGAGACTTCCAGATATCCTCCTTTTTAAATGTTTAGTCTTTTTACAGCAAAACTTAAATAAACTTTTTCTGCATTTAGTAATTCTTTCATTTTAATTTTTAGAAAGGGATAACCTTAATTGAATATTAGGTGAAAAGTTAACTTTAATATAAGTTTAACATTAGCTTCAATAAGCCCCATAGGAATGTCATATCTTGAGATGCGATATGCTTTGGTCAGTGTATGCGTTGCCTGTTATCATTGTTGCTGTTGTTGTTATTGGACCTGGTTGAAAACTCTTTTTGGCTACTTTTAGCCGCTTGGCTCTCTATCCTTTTTGTTTGTTTTTTTTTTCCAATTCTTGTTGTTTTTGGATGGAAAATGCTAAAAGAAAAGTTGGATTATAGGTATGTATGTGCGCCCATGTGTACTTGGCTGCGTGTGTGTGTGTGTGTGTGTGTGTGTATGGGTGGGTGTTAAAAGATAATACAAGTCTCTAGAAGGGTATGAGTGCTTATATGTGTGTGGGCGTAGCAATGGCGCCCAAAAGTTTATTACGCTACATCTCCCGCATCACCAGTTCTTTCTCTCTGCTTCTCTCTCTCCCCCCTCTCTCTCTCTCTCTCTAGTCTTTTATTCTGTTTGCTCACTGGCCAGGTGAGTTTTATATGCAATAATTTTTGTTTTTATACCCTGTACTCTGAGGAGGGCTAATAAAAGGATTTAAGGATTTAAGCTTTAGTTGACGCAGGATTTACAAGGCCATAAAGAGATGTGCAGTCCAAGTGCCTTCCATTATAATAGCGCTATTAAATTTGCAGTGCTTAAGTCTGATATACATATGGTCAAGTATATTTTGAAACGATTCTAAGCGAGCGAAAGTTTATAAGGAATGGGTCATAAGTGAAGGAGGTAATTGCTGTGTAGAATGAGAATATGATTACAATTCACAAGTTTTTCGGCATACACTTTTCTTTGTGAATACAGTATGCAGTCTGCTCGGCTGATGTAAGTGTATGACTACAGGGTATCTCCTTTGCCTAGTACAAACTAAATAGAGCTCCTACTCTTCTTTTTTTTTTTTTTTTTTTTTTGGTAATGTGTGGTGGGGAAAACGACGGTGGGAGTTGCATTTCATAAATTCTAATGTTTGCTTACCGTGGCCAAAAGCTTTCAACCTGTAACCGCACACATGAGAATTTCTAAGGGAGTGATGGGGTCGAAAGAGGAGCATGAGAGCTAGGCCGGGTGCATAAGGTCAACTCACAGGCAAGAGCTGTTGCTGTTCTTGCTGTATGAGGAGCTGCAGCTGTAGCAGATTTAGTTTTATTGCAAATTGCAGTGCCTCAGGTTGCGTCGAGGTCCTTGCATTCCACACACGCGCACACCCACACACACACACACACACATACGCACATAGACAGAGAAGTGCGCCTGCAGCTAGCAGCTGCCAGCTGAAATGATGTAGACATTCAAATGAATGAATGGAGGGACAACTGGCAGCAGCAGCAGCAGCAGCAGCAGCTAAATTCTTGGCTCTCAATTTGGCTTCCAAATAGCCGCTGGACTAGAAGGGATTTGGCTGGACGGGCGGAACAGGACTAAGCAGCTGCAAGCATCAAGCTGAGTGCTCCACAAATATTTTGCTTGTTTTTTGTGGCCCAGACAGGAAGCGAGCAGAACGAGTAGGAGGAGACGAAGACGGAGTTGTAGAAGTTGAAGCTGGAATAACAAGTGCCACAGCAGCAGGTCATGTCTGCCGCCATTTTAATTAGTAAAACGAATAAATCTGAAGGCAGCTGCCTACAATTTTGAGACTGGATAGAGATTCGGAGCCTGGAGTTTCAGTTCTTTGCTAGCGCAGCCAGGTCCAGGGTTTGAACCAGCTGCGTCTGCTAGGCTCCTTGACGGACTGCGGTTGCATTGATTGTGGTGGCACCACCGGCAGTGGTGTCATTTGATCCAACTGCTCATCGTATTCGGCCAGCTGATCGATGTGATCCTGTGTGGCCAGACTGACGCACTTTTGATAGTGATCCATCAACTTAAAGCACTTGAAGGACTCCTGGTGATGCTGGCGCAGGCAGCGCATCAGCAGCTCTTCAACATCCAAGCATGGCATATGAGTATCATATACCAAGTGGCGCTGCGTATGCTCCGCCAGGCGATCAAACTCGTGGCCAATTGCCTCCGGTGACCTGAAGAGCAGTTGGAATTGAGTTGCCAGCACTCGCATGAATCTCATCTACTCACAAGCGCTGTATATCCGCAATGGCGCCAAGGGCACTGTCCCTTTTCAACTTCGTGGTCTCTGCCACTGGCTTTGGCTCCAGTATGTCTCCCATCAATGTAAAATACAATTTTTTTTTGGTTTTGATTTTCAGGTCGTGTGTGTTTTACAAATGTACAAATGACATGTAACTTCCGGCCTGTGGTTTGAAGCTTGAAGCTTCCGCAACGAATCAAAAAGATACACTAGACACAGTCTGGTTTCAATTAAGTTTGAAATTTGTGACAGTAAAAGTACCAGAGCTTCATAATATACTTTTAGTAAACATATGGCTTTCATTTGGGTTCCATAATTGACTATTTAAGAACATCTGACTGTTAAACTTACAAATTACTATTGGCAAAGAGTATGTTAAATGATTGAAATTTTCTTTACTACTTTGTACAACTATGTGCATTATGCCTGGACAGAGGCAAGCATTGCTGAGGAGCCTAAACCCTTACATCCATTTAGAAGAATTCATGCATATAATGAGGATTTAACTTTGAGCAGGCAGACAATAAGTCATTATGCCGAGAAAAACACATTTACATAAATATTTTCAAAGAAACCATGACACTTGAATTCCAATTGAGTCTCTTAAAAGGTCAAGTTTCTCAAGAATAGCAAATGAAGTTTGAAATCTTTAGTTAGGTGTTTCAATAAATTTATTTTTAATTTCCAAAAATTATGGATATCATCAGTTGCCCATATCAAAGAAATGCTCATGAGGAACAAACTAAACTTTGGTAATTTCATTAAAATATTGTAACAAATTATTTTCCTTTTTACTTTGGCTGCATAGCATAAATCCCAGTCCAAATAACTTGAGAGCATGCTCTCATCCTCCTCCCAGCTGACTGAAGCATATATCAAATTTTGAGATGTGCGAGTGTAGTAAAGTTTGGATTTTAAACTTGGCTTCATGACGCGTTTAGGCGCAAAGTTCTGTGGAAATGCCATAAAAAGTGACCCCCAGTTTGAAGAAAAGAGCTTCCCCTCGCTATTTTTCTCTCTCTCTCTCTCTCTCTCTCTCTCGCTCTCTCTCTCTTTCTCTCTATGTGTCTGTCAATTACAGGATGCACCTTATACGGAGTTGAGTGGGCATCGTAACTGAAAGACAGCTAAACTTGTGGCTGACATAAAAGAAACTCAAGAAGCTGGTTTTTTTTATTCCCTGACCCTGTTGAAAATGGATGAAAATGGTATACAGGCAGAAGAAAGCTTCTTCGATCCCATGAGTTAAATATATTATTGATGAAACACAAACAGCCAAGTCGATCTAGCCAATGAACTAATATTATAATAGCATATTTGGAATACATATTTGGTGAGAATTAATCAGCATGATAAGCAAGCCTAGCATAAAGTGTATATATTTGTGTATATGTTATTCTGCAGCGCCCCGGGATCTATAAGAAATAAGAGCAAATACATCTAAAGGAATAATTGCCAATATAACTAGCACCTGTCTTTCCATCGAAGTTGCGTTCAGGGCATCTCTCAGTCGAGTTCTTACGTTGTTTTGTTGGTTTTTTTGCTTTTACTTTGTATTTTGTTGCGTTTGTTTTTGCCGGAATTTCGTTATTGGCATTTTCATTGGCCACAAAAATACTTTTTCGATTAAACTTTAACGGCGCGTGAAATGCCCGGAAAATACGCACCCGCTAACAATAATGTAGAGTCCTGCTCCACCGCTTCGCATTTGCTTTGGCCCATCCATAAAACAAAATCTGAAACACAGTCCAAGTGCCAAATCAGAAAATGATTAATTACAAAAATGTCTGGCCTGGGAATCGAACCCCAATTTCCACAAAATCCATCGCGACGGCGGCAACTTGACCTCATCTCTTCCAGCCCGTAAATGCCAAATGCCAATTAGCGGAAATATTTCCCGTAACTGCTAATGGATATTTTGTAATTTGTAATGCTCGCAGCTTTCGTAATAACGTTCGGGTGCCAAATATCAAAGGGCATTCCCCAAAGGAACCCGCAACCTTTGCGAATGCTCGCATCCCAAACTGAACGCTCCTCTCACATATCATTGGCTATTGTTGTCCAATTCCAATTGCCAAATGGAATGGAATATTGGACAACACCGAAACTCGTTAACATTCAGCAACAATTGAGCCCACATTGTCTTTGGCGCATTTTCCACAGAAACCCCATCTCATGCGGCGCAAAGTGTTTTCTCGGAAAATGTTGCAGCGATGGCATAACTGCATATATCAACTGAAATCCTTGCCCCAAAGCATTTGCAACCATAAAAAAATGTGAAAGCATTGCAGTGAGTGGGGCAATACTGCTATGTGTGTGTGTGAATCAAAAGCAAACGAGCTGGTGACAAAGTCAATTTCCAGCAGAAAGCTGAATGCTCAGTGAATAACTAAATAACGCTGGCTAAAATCAAATCATTTGTCCATGTTTGGAGTGGCTAGGCTACCTTTTGTAATGTTATATGTGATATATGATATTTACAAATCGTTTATTGTAAGTGATCCCATTGTAAGTTAATTAAACTCAAAAGCAAGCACGAAAATTGTGACTGATAACTGGTATTTAAATTACAAATGTGGAACCAAAAAGCAAAATGATGTTCGAGTTGCCAAATGTTACGTAAGAGATCAAATTAAACTTTATTGAATTTCATTTTATTGCCAATGCATGTGCCCTGCACGCAAGGATTCAGGTGATGACGATACCAACAATAGGACTTGGATGCACTGTGCAGTTGCGAAAGCGACAGGGGGCGTCCTGGTGATAATCGCATATCGGATCATAGATTCAGGTGCGGCGTCGACAGGAGCCCACGATGCCATTGAGCATTGGTGCAATACCAATCAACTTCATAATCTCCGGGCTACTGAGCACTTCAGTTGGTCCGGGATAGGGGCTGGTAAAGCGCAGCTGTATGCGAAGCGAACGCATTTCATCAGGCGCACACCTTCAGAAATTCATCAGTACAAATAAGACAAATTAGTAAGGAAATATTTGTGCACTAGCAACGGTTTAAGGAAAGGCATGCGGATTCGATAGTTGAACATTACGTCGTACAGATGGAAGTCAATCTCCTCGTTTGCATGAACTGCGCAATTAGCACCTGGATTTTCAGATTGACAACGACACGAGATGCATAAATAAAATGGGCAAATGTTGGCAAATGTAGCAGTAAGCAGAAGAAGGAAGCATTTCCGGGCCCATAATGTGTATAGATTCTTAATCAGCATCAAAAGCCATTAGCTTTACTTCATATCGATGAATATATATGCAACTCAATACATATTTAATTCGTGTAATAATAATTGTAAATAGATAGTGTGGTCTGTTAATATTTAATTGGTACACTCTCTTTATAGGGAGGGTACAGGATTACTACTTAAGGTAGTTTTACAGCACAATATTTTCCTGTCATTTCTCCATATCCTCTCCCGAGACTTATCGCGCTCCATCTTTCTCCTGCTCATCACAAAAACAGCTCACTTCGTTTCATGATCATGTTAGAAAATAAAGATTATAATCAACATGAAAATCAAACGGCAAAACTTTTAACTACCCCCCACAAATACGTGGCAGTTTTTCATCTGCAACGCTTGAGGATGCTTACCACCCCGCCCCCCGCACCAACCAAGTGAGGAGCCACGCTCGCTGCAGCTGCAGCAGATCCAGCTGCGGCGTCAGTTACTGCAGCTGGGAAAAGTCACAGCATGGAGCCAGACACGTTCAACATTCTAGTGGCACGCGAAACCGCACAAAATGTCGTCTTCTTTTGCGGCAACTCCAACTGCAATTTTCATTGCCATTCCTACAAATGTCCCAACCCAATCTCATTCTACACGTGGCTGCCTGCCTGCTGCGCATTTTGTGCACAGTCTCCGTATATATGCATATATCTATATATATATATATATGTACATATTCTTTTTTTTGGCTTATTTACAGAAGCATCGTTTACTATATTTCTCAGCATATAAATTTTTGTTCAAGCTGAAAAGTTTCACATACTCATATCACGTAATGCACGACGTTCTGGCGCTTACGTCACGGATTCTGTGTGCAAGTGTAAAGGGGGTGGTGGGTTGAGCCCGCCCCTCTCGGTGGCGTGCGAGTCGCTAATTTATGTCTGACATTAGAATGCAATCATATTCACTTAAAAAACTGCATAACTTTTCGCTCTTGCTCGTAATAGTTTTAATACTTTGACTTTCGCTCCTATTATGCGAATCACAATTAAATTTCAATTCCAATTGCTCGGCATCATGCTATTTGTTGCATGCATGCCAGCAATTGAAAGTACACCTACAACTTTGCAATATTTCTGATTTTGTGGCGTGCCAACTTAACGTGTTGACTGTGGATCTGTGGCATCCCCTGCCAGTAAGGCTGGCAACATGTGAACTTTAAATCACGCAGTTCGCTGGAAAATGTGTTAAGATGCCTTTCAACGATGAAGGATGTGTATAACTGGAAATCGTGAATCTGCTACGAATTATACATAAGTATTATAACATACTTGTATACGTATGGAAACACTAACACATACACACATACATCTGTACATATTTAAATGTGCTTGTGTGACTATTAGAGAAGAAGCAACTGACCCGTGACATGTATCCCGGCCCTGGTCTAGAACATAAGCCGCAAAAGGATTTTCGTCGGTGCCTGCAAATTGTGAAAACCAAAGAATTATTGCTCTGTCCCTGACCCGGATGCCCAACAGACTGTACAGACAGTGTGTGTGTGTGCTGGCATTCCCAGTCTCAATCCCAGTCCCATTGCCACTCCCATTCTCTCTTTCTCAGTCATCGCCCACCATCGTCGCATAATCCCAGGCAACGTGACCCAGCTGACAGTTTACAATTTGCACAGTATTCGACAAATGCTGTGCCCCCACACACCCACCCGCAGCTACACACACCACTGCTGGGAGGTGTTTGGTTAAGCACATAATTAATTCGAAATTTGATTGCTTTTGCCGCGATGGGACAACACTCGCCTGACTCCGGATGTGCACACATACATACATAAATAGAGATGGTCGCATATCCAATTTTTTTGCATTACGACACAATTACAAATCAGCAAATTGCCAACACAAATTACATTCAGTAA